AAAGTTCAGCAGGTCAGAGCCTGCATGCCGTTCAACAAAGTATCAACGCGCAAGTAGGCAATTAACGTCAATTGTCGCTGTATGTATGCAGTAATGACTGTATTCTCTAAATACTGCAAACTCTTATGCATACGCTACCCGTATCTGCTACTGTTATCTGTTTATGTCTCTGATGATGAATCTGCGACGGATCTCTAAACGTCAGTCGAATAAAGGTACTGTTCCAGCGATCGAGTCGTCTTCTTCTCAATTACTTCCTGGGACTCGCATGTTCGCTTGTATCGCCAAACTGTGTCCCAGAGTTCACACTTGAGCTCCCACCAGCAGCCACAATAGCCATTACTACATATATAAGTTTTTGTCGGTACTGATCTTCTTTCTATCGTGTCCTGTGCCCCCTGCCCCTCTGAGTCGGGTACAACAGAGCCGGCCATCTTAAGAGTCCACCAAGGCATTAAAGTACGGAGTCAAGCGCAGAAACCTGAGAAGAGAGGCGGCCGCGTATCATCTAATAGAAAGAGCGAAGGGGGAGCGCGACGCGGAGGGGCGACGTAAACAGAGACACTAACCTGAGAATGGTGGAAGTGATTCTTTATGAGCTGGCCAATATTCTGTGTATGCGAGAGGTCGAGGGCGGCGTCTACCTCATCGAGGATGTAGATGGGCGCCGGCTTGAAGAGCAGAAGAGCCAGGATTAGTGCCAACGCCACGAGGGACCTAAGGGCAGCAGGGGAGAACATGTTAGCTAAAACTGCAAAAAGGAAGACAACTCCTGAGGAGAGAGTGAGTGCAACAACAATAGCAGGAATTTAGGATACAAAACAGTGCCGAACAGAAAAGAAGCATTCATGGTCCTTCGGCAGGGTACAGAAACCTTGAAATCCGTGGTCTTGGGGAAGGGGTGGGGCGGCAAATGGAGAAGTCCACCAAGCCAAGCCAACCGATGCAAACTCTGTCTTACGGGCGGCAGGTTAACAGACCGATTACCAACGGACACCAGCGCGTGAACTACGGATGGTAACTTTCGCGATGACTACGGAGACACAAGAAATACTCCTGTGGCATGGCCTGAGCAGACTTATGTTTATTACTCATAATAAGTAACGGGAATATAGTCAGAAAATTATTTAATAGGCCTGTTGGTTGGTTGGTAGCCCATGTTGGATCAGGGGTTCCCGCCGCAATCCAAACTGGGTGCAGTTGGGAGGCGGAGAAAAGCCGCGACCTCGGCCGGCT